CTGTTCAGCTGTTTCATGTCAACATGTTTTCATTTATATTTGGCTTCTTACACTCCAGTGCAATCTTTAGAGTCTCTTCTGACAACCATTTTAATTTTTTTTCTTTCTTCTCTGTTTTTGTAATGATCTTTTGCTTGCACCTGCATCAGGAAGCTGTTGTGCAAATGGAGCAGGAGAGCACTGCATGGTTTAGAATTGGGAATGAAGTGTGTCAGGGTCATATTCTATTTCCATACCTGTTCAATTTACATGCTGAACAAATTATCTGAGAAGCTGGACTCAGAATCCTGGTATCAGGATTGGAGGGAGACTCATCAATAACCTGCATTTATGCAGATGATACAAACTTACTTGCTCAGAGTTAGGTGGACTTGAAGCCCTTGTTACAGAAGATCAAGCAATACAGCCTTCAGTGTGGATTATGTGTCAATGTCAAGAAAACAGAGATTCTTACCACTGGACCAACATGCAGTGTCATGATGAATGGAGAGAAGATTGAAACTGTTAAGAGCTTCATCTTACTTGAATCCACAATTAACACCCTTATTACGAGCAGTCAAGAAATAGGAGGGGAGCTCTGGTGGCCTAGTGGCAAGAAACTGCACTGCAATCCCAGAGGAACACGGTTCGAATCCACCAGATGCTCTGCCGGAGAAGGAGGCGCAATATCCTCCTGTACCAGTCAGATCTGATTTGACGGTACATACACGCACACAAAATAATAAAAACAAAAAAAAAAAAGAAAGAAATAGGGAGATGCATTGCACTGGGAAAATCTGCAGGTAGGGACCTTTCCAAATTACTGAGAAGTAGTGATGTCAATTTGAGGACTAAGATGTGTCTGATTCAGGCCATAGTGTTTCTGTGTACTAGCTATGTATCCGAGACCTGGACAATGATTAAGGATGAAAAGTATTGATGCCTTTCAGCTGTGGTGTTGGAGAAGAGCACTAAACAACCTGTGTACAGTCAAGAGAATGAACAGATATCAGAGTGCTCTTTGGAGGCAAGAATGATGAAACTTCACCTCATATACTTTTAATATATTGCTAGGAGGTGCTATGATGTTGGGAAAGGTAGAGGGTCTGTGAAGGAGAGGAAGACTCTCAGCAGCTCTCTTGACAGTGACTGCTGCAATGGGCGCTTGTGTGTCAGGAAGTGTGAGGATGGCACAAGACAGGACTGGGCTCAGATCTTTTATTCTTAGGGTGACTATGAGTTGTACTTAACTGGACAGCACCTAACAACAACAATGTCAATAAAAGGCTTGCTGCAAAAGATCAAGAGCTACAATATTGATTGCACCTCAACATCAAGAAAATAAAAATCTTCACCAACAGGCCAAAAGGCAACATCATGATAGATGGAGAAAAGATTTAAATAGTCAATGACTTCATCTTATTTGGATCCACAATCAACACCCTTGGTACCAGCAGTCAAGAAATCAAACGACAACATTTCTAACATACTAAAAGAGCATCATTGCAAATTTAAAGTCTAAGGTGTGCCTGATCCAAGGTCTTATACTTAAAATTATGTTTAAAATTTGGACAGTGTCTAAAGATGACAGAGGAATTATTGATGCCTATCATATGAGGTGTTGGATAAAGTGAAATCAGGGTGTTCCTTGGAGGCAAGGATGGTGAAACTCCATCTTACATACTTTGGGCATAAAGTTGTAAGGAGGAACAGTCCTTGAAAAATAATATCATGCGTGGAGGGTCAGCATAAGAGAGGAGATGACACAAAATAACAACCATATCATTAAAATAACATAAAATAAGAAAATTTTGTTGAAGATTATTCAAATACACAGCTAGCACTGTACATCAACAGAGAACTTCTAGAAATTCACTCTCGATTTGGAAGATATTCACTACTAATGTCACTGATGGATATTGGCTGAAAACAGAGACTACCGGAAGATGTTTATTTGTGTCTTATTGACTATGCAAAGGAATTTGATTGTGTGGATCACAACAAATTGTGGCTAACACTGAGAAGAACAGGAATCCCAGAACACTTAATAATATTCCTGAAAAACCTATACCAAGACCAAGAGGCTGTGTGCTAACAGAGTCAGAGTACTGCATGGTTTAAAAATCAAGAAGAGTGTGTGTCAGGACTGTTTCTCCACACTCATTCAATCTGTACACTGAACAAACTATTCAAGAAGCTGGACTTTTTGAAGAAGAATGTGGCATCAGGACTAGAGAAAGACTCATCAACATCTTCCATTATGCAGAAGATACAACCTTGCTTGCTGGAAGTGGAGGGAACTTAAGATGTTTGCTGCAGAATATCAAAGATTACAGCCATCAATATAGATGATATCTCAACATTATGGCAACAAATATCTTCACCACTGGGCCAACAGGCAACATAACGATAAACGGAGAAAACATTGAAATTGTCATTGATATCATCTTTCTTAGATCTACAACCAACATCATTGGCACCAGATGTCAAAAAATAGAAAGATATATTGCATTGGGAAAATCTGCTCTCAAGGACTCTCCAAAGGACTAAATAAACAATGATGATGATGTCAATTTAAAAACTAAGGTACACCTCATCCAATCCAGGATCCTTGTCATTGCTGTCTATGCATCTGAAGTCAGACAAGAATATGGACAGCAAAAGAAGAATCCATGCTTTTGAGTTGTGGTGTTGAAGAAGAGTACTATATACCCCAAGATCTGTATTTATTCAAAAGAATGAATAATTATGCTTTTGAGGCAAGGATGGTGAAACTTCATCTTATACACCATATGCATATTGTAAGGAGAACTAGTTCTTGGAAAAAAGACTTCATGCTTAAAAAGGTGGAGGGTCAGCATAAGCGGGATGACCTTCAACAAGATGAACTGACACAGGGGCTGTATCAGTGAGCTCAAGTATACACCAGAGATGATGTGTATGGCACAAGATACACACACAAGGTTCAGATCCATTGTTCAAAATCTTGCTACAAGACACAGTCAACTTGATGGCACATAACAACAACACAGCCATTACTACTGCTACTGCTCATTACAATAGTGGAGCCCTGGTGCCTGCTCTGCAGGAGAAAAATGGGCAACCTCTTCCCATGATGTTTACTATCTCTGAAAGGCCACTGGTGAATTAGGAATCCGTTCTGACTCTGCAGCACCTCACAACTACCACTCACTGCTGTCCAGTAGGAAACAATGCATAGATGACACTGCAGCAGTTTCCAGGGGCTGGAAACTACTCAGAAGGAAACTGCTTACCTTTCTCCTAGGAATCAAAGGTAGAAACAAACTGCCAGAGAAGCATGATCTTTGGGGATAGAAGCCCAACTCTATGCCACTGGAGCTCCCAACACAAAAAAAGAAAAACCAGAAGGCTCTGTTCTAGTATCTCTTTTCAAAAATATAAAATTGAAGCAGAACAGATTAGGCATTTTCATAGCAAACACCGTAAGATGATACAAGTGTCAAATGACTAGTTTAAATCAAGATGGAATGTGGTGTTCCAGCTCAAGTGAGGGGGGAAAGCTTTACGGGGCGGGGCGGGGGGGCGGGAATCACCTTTGACCAGGACTTTACATAATAAATCCAATTTTAAAAAAAACCGCAAAGGGGTGAGACTACTGTGCTTAGCCAAAAGTGGTGAGAATGTGTATCGTTTTATTGTCCAGAGGGATAGCCTTTCTGATTCCTTTGTTCCAGGTGAAAGAGAAAGGAGTTAGCGACATGTCTAATTGTGCATCATGTGAGTAGATTTTTTGAAAAGGATTTGAAGGAGTCAGAGGTTCAACTTCTTAAAAATCAATGTTCATAAGTGTCCTTTTATTAGGGAGTTAATATGAATAAAGTGGAGGAAAAAATAAGCGGGGAATAAGACTCTCTAAAATCTCCATTAATAATTAGAAGTTGAAATGCTTATCACAGTTTCTGTGCTAGAAAGGTTATATATACATAAAAAATGTAACCAATGAGCTGCAAGAAAGGCTTAGAGGGAACAACATGCTAATTTCCACAGAAATTTATTAATATTTATGGTGGTAGAGGGAAATATTGAAGAAATCTCCAGTGACTGTCTGTTTATCTGTCCAATGAGCCATCTATCCATCCTTCCACCCCATGTCTACCCACCATCCATCCATCGATCTGGACTTGACCATCTGGTTGACTGGGATGTAGCACCTGTTTACTTATTTCTATATTCATATCAAAAGATGAATTGCATTGGGTAAATCTGCTGTCAGGGAACTTTCCAGAGTACCAAGAAGAAATGGTGTCAGTCTAGAGAAGAAAGTGCACCTGATCCAATCAATGGTTTTCATAATTGCTTGCTATGCATCAGATAATAATGACTAAGGAAGATAGAAGAATTGATGCATATGAGTTCTGGTGCTGGAGAAGAGTCTTGAACATACCATGGACCACCAAGAAAAAAAAATAAGTCTGTCTAGGAGACAGTGAAATCAAGTTTCTCCTTGGAAGCTAAGGTTTTGAAACTCCATCTTACATACTTTGGGCGTGTGGTCAGGATCCTTGGAAAAGGATATCAGGCTTGGTAAGGTGGAGGAAGAGCACAGGAGAGGAAGACACTGGATGAGGTGGATTGATACATTGACTAGGGCAATGGGGCTAAGTGTGTCGGAGTCAGTGAGAATGGGTCAAGACAGGGTAGGCTTCAGAGCTATTGTACATAGGGTTGCTATGAGTCACAGGCAACTCAACAGCACATAACAACAACATACTCAAGATGGGATTCCCCTATACAGTTACCTACCCAACCATTCACCCATCATCCATGCATCTATCCATTTGAACTGGATGACTGGAATGTAGCACTTGTATGTTCATATGTCTGTCCGTCCATCCATCCATCCATCCATCCATCCATTTATCCACCCATCTATTCAATTCCACATTAAATCCATTTGTTTACACTCACTCTAACCATCCCACTAATCACTTGTATAACCAAAATGGTGAACTTTTATCCAAAGAATAAAATATAATTACCTGCCATGCAAAGATTCTTCAATGAAAAAATTAAAATACTCTGTATATTTTTTTTTAAAATCTTCATGTAGGAACCACTTGAGAAGTTGGTATGTTTTCTTTTCTTCTTTATAATCTAAAAAAAATACAAATGAAGGGGGGAAATTCAACAGTATAATGACATCCAAGTTTGTTTATTCTAATAATTTTCTACTTCTTTGTATGTTTCTCTCTTTTTTTCTCCTTTGTATTGGTTATAAAGATTAAGCTATTGACATCTTTAGGGGGAAGTCCTGAAATATTCACACCTATCCCACAAGCAAATTTTGTATGACTGGGGTTTTTTTCCTCTTTGAATGATATAATCTGATAACATTTATTGAGAGCCTTAAAATTATTCAGGTATTTTTATTATGTTCAAACTGATGGATATTTACAGTTAAAACTTCCATTTAAAGATACAGCTGGTCAGAAAACTAAGGCAATGGAATTTAAGATCATTTGTCAAGGCTGCACACAGTGTAGCCTCCTAGTTAAAAACCCTTTTGGTCAGTATCATGGGGCTAGAATCCATTTTGAAAGCCATCTACAGGAGCTGGGTTCTACAGAAGTTTGTTGGCCAACACTGGTGAGCATTAGGGTGGAAAGTTGATTTATTAAGGGGAGTGAGGCAAGGTGATAAAGCCTCCTAGCTATTAACCCATTATAAACCCAGTCCCTACAGAACCTTGATGAACATGGAGAAACAACCAAAGTAATACATGTGTTCAGGTCTTTCATTCATAGGGTCACTATGAGTCATCTATGACTCGATAGCACTTAACAACAATAACAGAGACAACATAGAGATATCCCTGTTGACCTAGTGGACAGAAAGTTATGCTATCAAGCCCAAGGTGGGTGATTTTAATCTGCGGCCCTCAGGCCTGGTTTAAATTGGTTTTTGTCAAACATTCTTCTACGTGGTATACCACTGGTCTGTGCATTTCTGTCCAGAGGTAACTCATGGTCGTTGTGATGCTAAACACTGTTATACTGATATGCCAAATGCAATAATGGTTAACCCATGGTGGACAGTGTTTGGTGGAGCTTCCTGAATAAATAAAGCTTAAAAGCAGGAGTGGCATCCACTTCCAAAATGGCTTGCCTCCAGAAACTCTATGAACATAAAGAAACGACCAAAGTTATACAAGTGTTCAGGTCTTTTGTTCATAGGGTCACTATGAGTCATCTACGACTCGATGGCACCTAACAACAACAACAACAACAGCACACAGAGTGGATATAGAGTTTACATCTAAATGCATGTCTGATTCTAAAACCCAGATTGTGTTTTAGAAAAACTCATTTTCTTTTTTAAAAGTGAAATATGCAAACAGTTGGGATTCTCCCCCTACCCAGAAAATAAGTACTAAAAGCTCATAATAAAATACTAGTTTCCTTTAACGGAGCTCTGGTACCCTAGTGGCAAGAAGATGCACTGCAATCACAAAGGAATGTGGTTCGAGGCCACCACCTGCTCCATGGGAGAAGGATGGACAATCTCCTCCTTTGTAATTAACTGCTTATCCCTTGGAGGATGCGCTATGGGTTGGTTCTGGCTCTATGATATACGACAAAAATAGGTTTCTTTACTGGAAATCCCCCTTTTAGGGAGCTGTGGTAGTGGGTTGTGCTGCTAACCAAAAGGTTTTCAGTCTCCCGTCCCCTGTAGTACAAATCCACTGGCCATTTCAAGGGAGATAAATGGATAGGCACCTCCCATAACAATGCAAAACCTCAGAAACCACAAGTATGACATATAGTCTCACCCAAGGAACAATAGCAAAATTCAGTAGAGCAGCAAACAAAAAATGCTTGTGAGTTTGTGGAGAAACTGGAACCCTTATTCATTGTTGATGGGAGTGTAAAATGGTACAACCACTCTGGAAGGTAGTATGGTGCTTCCTCAAAAATTTGGGATATAGAAATAACATTTAACCCAGCACTACTGGAAATATACCCTAAAGCAACCAGAAATGCCACCCAAACAGATATATGCTGTTGCAATCCACAACCCTTTTTCCTGGGAGAAATGAACATAAAGAAACAGACACAGACAGAAGACAAGACAGTACTGCAGCAAAGAAACACACACTTACACACACGGGACAAGAACTGCAGGCCCCCTAGCCCTGCTTCGTTTATTATTTTATAATCACCCAAAAATACTCTACGTGCAGACACTCATGATTTGGGGAAAACTTATTTACCAGAAACTAGACTTGTTTAGACTTGCTTAGCACAGAATTTTTTCTCATGGAATCTTTTTTGCTTCCATTTCACTGTTTACCACAAGGAATAAGACTATTCCTTGGAAAGAGTAATATTCTTGGACCTCATATGCAAGCGCCCAATGTCCCCATCTATTTGCAGACTCAAGGACACACTCCTCTCTTCCTCTGGATTGAGGAAGGCCAAAGAGACATCTGTGTTCAGACTGTTTCTTTATTAACCCTTCTGGCTTCTTCAATATGCACACTCATGTTTACTGCTATGTTGTTCAAAATAGCAAAGAGATGGAAACAACCCAAGTGCCCATCAACAAATGAATGGATAGAGAAGCTGTGGTATATTCACACAATAGAATACTATGCAGCACTGGAAAACAAGGAAATAATGAAATATAAAGAACGGGTGACCCTGGAGGATATTATGCTGAGTGAAATATCTCAGTCACAAAAGGACAAACACTGCATAATATCACTGTTATAAAACAAGACTGAAGGTCGACTGAGGACTGGTGGTTGGGGAGGAAACTAGGAAAAGAGGTGATAAATAATTAACACTGCATTGAAACAGATGATGGGGAAAGTGTCTAAAACAAATATATGATTGGGTGACTACAGTCTAGAATAAGAGGTGCATAGTAAAGTGGACAAGCAGGGGGAGAGGGAGTAAACTGTGCAACAATGAAAGATTCTTTTTAAAGAGAAAAGTGAACTGGGGGGGAGGAAAATGTGCAGCAATGAATGACTGGAAATCCAAGTTTTCTGTAAACATAGGTTAAAATATCAATAAAAAATTTTAAAAAGAAAAAAAAAATGCTTCAGAAACCAGATGGAGGTTTGGCCTGAGTCAGAACAGGCTCAACAACTGTGAATCTGAGTTTCTGTCTTATCTCCAGTATACCAGCCTGACTCTTGCCTCATTACTACTGTTGGTCGACCTTGAGTAAATTCAGACTCTTAGCCACCTCACTGGGATCAGAGGAGCGTAGTCCTTGATGCTAATTGTTTTAGGGGTTCGTTCACCCTCTATGGTTTGAGAAAGTCTGAAGTCCATGAAATTTAAAATTCTGTTCTGCATTTCCTCCCCTTGATCAGAATTCTCCTAGATACTTTGATTAAAAGCTCAATAACAGTATCCAGGTACCACCCAGTGTTTTCTGGTCTTGTGGCTGAAGAGGCAAAGGTTTATGGCAGCAATGAGCCACATATCAATTCCTTCTCCTATTTCAATTTCTCCTGAAAAATTACCCTCAATTATTATGTCTTGGACTTGTAAGCCTCCAGATGGTTTTCTGTGGCTCATTTTTTTGGATGTAGGTGCCCTGATATAAAAAGCGTTCTGCCAGTATATGGGAATCTAAGTCCTCCACTTATTCTAGAAGGAGGAACAGTACTTAGATAAAACATCTACAACAAAAACCTGATTCCTATGAAGCCAGACAGGCTCCCTAAATCTACATCTGCCAATTCTAATACCAACCAAGCCCCCCACGGCTCTTGCTACTCTGCTATCTGTCCACAAATCTGTTGAAATGGCCACACAGAACTCATCATATGCATAATTATGGTGTTTATGAGAGAAGCTAACAGGTTACAGTTCAGGTTGGAAACAGGATACAATTCTTCAGTCAGGACACCTATGGTGCTCTTGCCGGCCCTTTAAGTTTCAGCCTCAAGGTCAGTGTTACAAAGCTCTCTCAGTTCTGCCAATTACATGTAAGCTTAGGGAAAGATTACTGATGCTAGTTCTGCAAGGTAACAGCCCCTGTTTAGTTCTCTCTCATGTTGGTTTCTGGTTCTTTACTGCTACTGCTGTTCTCATCTAGGCCCTGGCTCAACTGGCCCAGGAATCTCTTGTCCAGAATGGACTTGTGCTGGACTCTCCGCTTTTTTCTTGCTGATAGTTGTTGTGGTGGTGGTATGCCATAGAGTCTGAACCAACTCATAGCAAGCAGACCCTCCAGTGGGTTTTCAGAGGCAGTCAATTACATGGGAGGAGACTGCCCATCTTTCTCCAGGGGAGTGGCTTGTGGCCTTGAACCACGTTCCTATTTTTTGCTGCTGAACCTACTCAATTTAATGAGGATGACAGACTGACCAACCCTTTCATTAGTAGTCTACACACCTTGTTTGCATGGTCCCATCCTGCCAAGTGCAGAAAGTCAAAGCCATTTTGAACAACAAACCAAACTATACCACACGCTGGCCTTTATTCAGAGATGCATCTGGGCGATTAAAAGCTCCAATCCATTCTGCTATCAGTCCAGTTAAATTGTTTCTATCACACAAATGATCCTCAGTTACACCTGTGTAAATAAAAGTTTTACGTTGCTGAATGTGCTTAATTTAAACCTGCTAGAATGAGAATTTAAATCTGCTAGGGCTCTCTGGCAATCTAGTGTTGAGAAGCTGCACTGCAATCTCAAAAGCACATGGTTCAAATTCACAGGCTGTTCCCAGGGAGAAGGATGGACTCTCATGTGATTACGGCCTCTGAACATCCAATGGAGGGTCAGCTCGGAGGTGGTTCTTACTCGATGGCACATAATATCAACAGGATGGCAAGATTTACCAATCTTTACATCCACACACATCGATCTTCTCAATGATCTACACACTTTATTCACATGTCAAGTAATCAAAAAGTGTTTTGTATTGGGCAAATCTGGTGTCGGAGACCTTTCCAAAGTGCTAAAGAGCAACAATGTCAATTTAAAGACTAATGTGTGTTTAATCTAAACCATAGCATTTTTCAGTTCCTTCCTATGCATCTGAAAGTTGGACAATGAGTAAGGAGAGCAGAAGAATCAATGCCTCTGAGTTGTGGCGTTGGAGAAGAGTGCTGAATATCTCACGGGATGTCAAG